AGCGTTTACAATTTTGCATAAATTGTAAATTAAGGATATAAAAAAATAATATAAAGGAAATATTGTCTAAAAAAATCTGTATTAATTTTACACTCTTTTAAAGACATTATTTAATTAAGTATCCTAAATGGCCACTACAATTCAAATTTTCTAATTTTTATTATATAATAGTGGTCACTTTCAAATTAGAACATGGAACATGGAGCAATGGAACTACGCACAACCGTCAAGTGTCAATCAGGGCTTCAGGGCGCGTACAATGTGGGCGGGCGGTGTGTCTCTCATGAGAAATGACTTTCCTAACCTGAATATTTATAGGTCAAAATGTTATTATAACTATAAATCAGAATTATTTAATAACTAGCGATTGACCCTCGTTCCGTTCGGGTTCGTCCCTACTAACGTTTTGTATAGATTTCTCAGAGATGATAAATTTTCCTGCAGTAAAAAGTATCCTATATGTTCACCTGGATAACCAGCTATCATAATACCAAATTAAATCAAAATTCCTCCAGTGGTTTTTACGTAATGCGGTCACAGACAGATAGACAGACAGACAAAAACTCTAAAAACTATAGATTCGGCCTGTGTCGATAATAATGTATATTTGAATAAGATTTTTCAAAAAATATTTAATGTACAGATTCGGTTTAGTTACAATTTTATTATATGTATAGGTGAGAAAAAAAAACATTTTTTTGCGAGACACGAATCATAAAAAAACGACAATTTATGTAACGTAAATCAAGCAGTAAGAAAGCGCGTTTAAAATAAGACACATAAAAGTAATCGATATCTGTAGACGCTTCACCAACACGAACACAAATAGTTCTTATTCTTATATGAATAATAAAATACTAAACAACAAAACATTCACCGCCCACTTAAGTTAAAAGCACTAAACGTTAAAATCGAAGTTAAAGACCTCTTGTAAACCGATATTGTTCGTACACTCGACTTTTTACGTTCTCCATGAAGCCAGTAATCTTTGGGTCCTCTTTCTAAAGATCAGATTTCTTGCCATTTCCAGAACTTGTATTCTTTAAAAAAAAACAGCGTGGCGTTCGTCGTATAAAGTGTCGTATAAATTATCATAATTTAACTACAACTCTGATTTAATTTTAAATATTAGATACTCGCGGCTTATCTTTGCGCTTCTCTCGGGTTTGCCTCTAGAAAAACAAAAACAAACCTATCCCACGGGAACCGTATATTTTTCTGGGATAAAAAGTGGCCTATGTGCTATGCCAGACTATAACCTATCTCTTTGCCAAATTTTATCCAGATCCGTTCAGCTGTTCTGGCGTGAAAGAGTAACAAACATCCAAAAATCCATGTAAACTTTCACATTTATACGAATATTATAAATGTGAAAGTTTGTGAGTACGGATGTATGTTTGTTTTTGATGATTTTTTTACGCAAAAACTACTGAATGGATTTTGATTTTTGATGAAACTATACAATAATATAGCTCATACATCAGAATAACACATAGACTACTATTTATCCCGACAAAATGTACGGTTCCCGTGGGATAGATTTGTTTTTATTTTTCTAGAGGCGAACCTGAGCGAAGCCAAGGTGAGCCGCTACTTTATAATATTAGTATAGACTTGAAAAATGTAATATTAAATTAATATTATTGATCTATAGGAACTTATTTCTATACATATTTTATCAATATATTTATACCTTACGCCGTAAGTAATATTTCTGGTACTAAATTAAATTTGAATGCAATTGTCGAACCAGAAAGTAATATCAACATTTCTCAACTAGGCAGATACATTGAATTATTAACAACAAACACAGACGCGTGGGTGAAAACCCTTGCTCGCAAATAATTAAGAGGTGAACGTTCACAATTATAGGAGAAGTCGATATGTAATATGTAAATATTTATGATTTAAGCATACGCAAATACGGCATTTTTCTTTGATTTTCGTAACCGCATTCTGGAACAGATTTTTTCAGTTATGAATTATATTGAAGAAAAGCAGAATGAAGAGTTCAAGTACTTATTTTTTTGATTCGTTATAACATAGCAAATAAGCCCAAAATCTAGCAATGAAAGAGTTCCATACTTTGTTTACATAGTTAACAAACTATTGTAAGACGTTAGCAAAGTACAAAGAACACACCTGTGAGACAGGCGCAATAACATCTAGGTAATCGTCGTTTTTATCACCAAGTCGAAGAGCGTAAAATCGAATGTAATCAAAGACGAAATTCTGAAGATGGCCATAAAATGGTCTTAGGACAAGCAAAAGCGTATGGATGTGTCCTGAGTACCTTTCTGTATTGTAAGATCTTGGCGATGTTGTTACATCTTATTAACATTAGCAAAACTAAATATTGATCCATAGTTTATTTTATTACTGTAAGTATAATTGTAGAGTAAACGAGTCTAAAAAATATATATTTACATAATGGCATAATGGCAATAACAAAAATTTATTCGTAAACAAGGATAGTAGAAGTTCTTCATGTCTAAACCCAATAAAAGAGAAAGCACAAAGAATGTAAAAGTCACTATACGATTTCGATTTGATTCTGCGTCACGATTTTATTTTATAATAAATTGTATCGACTGTCACCCACGCGTCTGCGGGCGGTCTGATCGGATAGGCTTATTAATACTAGCTATTATAGTCCAATGAATTACTATTACGTCCATTTAAAACACTGACGATGTAATATGTTCGCTGATGGTTAATAATCTGAATCAATTTTTTATTTAAATAACGTACATCACGCATGAAGGAGATGTCTATTACAAATATTTAAGTTCAATGGAAATCGATTTTGTGAAAACATTAATTAAATAGTAGTTAAGTAAAAAAAATCTTTAAGTTTCATTAAGTAATTGCCACATACGTGTATGTGAGTTGACAATGAGTTTAAACTACAATAATATTTGTTTGGTTTATATCACCAAAACGTTACACGTTACAGTGATTTTATATATTTACAAATAATCATATAATAACTAACTAAATAAATAAATAACTATGTTCGGACATTAACACACAGCACCATCTAGTTCCATGGTAAGCTACGAGGCTTGTGTTATGGATACCAGATTGTTGATACACTACATACATATAACTTTAAATACATACATATTACAAACATAAACACCCATGACTAGAGTAGAAACATTCGGGCTCATCATACAAATGAATGCCCCTAGCGGGACTCGAACCCGCGACCGCTGGCACAAGTAGGGTCACTACAAACTGAGCCAAACGTGTCGTCGGATATACGGATACGTTGTATTGTTTATTGGTACAATTATTTTTAAATAAAACTTTACTTCACTAAGATAACAATCCTAGCAATAAATCTCACGCATTTGAACTACCGTTACTGCTTCTCGTATCGAAACGTCATTTAGCATCCGTCGAACAATTGTGTGGTAATAAAAGCAAGACAAACGATCTCTTTCAATATACGGTCGATCGGCTGTTGGTCCCCGAGCTGTTAGTGAGCCAATCCAATGCTCAATCAAGAAAAGTGGGCCAAATCATTAGGGACCTTTAGGAGGGACACGCTACTAAGCTAAGTATTACGATGGCAGATAACTAAGTATTAAGCGATAGCTAAATCTGTAATGAGGCATAAGATTGTACATAGATTAGTAACTCAACACTTTCCACTACTACCATTTATTACAATTTAACCGATTGTTTTATCGATAAGAAGATTTTGCTACAGTAGTTATTTTAAATAATTTTAAAGTATCTTTAACATCAGTTAAGTACAAAACTTAACAGTAAATAGTAACTTTTATACGCCTTAATGCAATGATAACGTTTCAATATGAGATAGTGAGATAGCGAGTTGGAGCCCGCAAGTAGCGAAGACTTATATTGGCTATAAAAAAGATATTTATTTTTGTTTAAAATTAAAATCAATAAAGTAAGTTTCTGATAATCGTGGTATCGCTAAAGTAGCCGTCAAGATACAGCTGACTCTTATATATATATATACATACATATATATATATATATATCTGTGTATATATATATATATATATATACTACTTTATTACGGGTATATAAGGGATATCCCTTATATACCAACCATAACCATTTGCAAATTTTTTAATCCTTATTTAACGAATTCGATTTAGTACACAATAAAAGTTTTTGTTTTATTCAAGGATTACAATAAAAAGTAATGAATACTAATATTGTATGTTTAAAGCCACATTAGAAACAAAATAGCTAACACTATGACTTAATTTTTTACCCTTTAAATGGTATGGTTGTAAATTTTAGGCCAAGGACCAACTCCGCCCAGTCTAGCCAGATCAATGTCCGTTTAGAGGGAACGGTAAACTGGGCCAGGAGAATAAAGAAGTAATTTATTATACATAATTAGTGATGCGTTTACACTTTCACGATGCACTTAATGATCCATTATGACAAATATAACATGATCGCATATTAAGGAAGTTTAAAGTGAAATATGATGAGTCAAATAAAATGGGTAGGTACTATATTATGATTAGGCATTTGGGGTAATACTATCATAATAAAAATCTGAAATCTATACTAATATTATAAAGAGGTAAAGTTTATGTGTTTGTGACGTTGTAGCATTTGATACCCTGACATAGGATACTTTTTATCCCGGAAATCATCCCTTAAAGGGATGAAAGTTTCTATCGGCAAGCAAGCTATGTACGAACCCGAGCGAAGCGAGGGTGAGTTGCTATTCGCTAGTATACTATATTTGAGTTTTAACAAACCAAGCAGCCAACACATTAGCCATGCCCCACTTACCTACACATATAGTAAATTTATGCTAAACGGCACGAAACAAGTATGACCAAGTATAAAAACAAAATAACAAGTTATTGTTACATTTCTAACAGCCATAGCTATGCCTAAGAATCTGTAGTTAGAAATTGTTGGCTCACGCCAAGGTCTTAGCATATTCTTTCCGTGGCGACACGCAATATCTTCATAATTGCATTGTTATACCTGAGTCAGATCGCTATCCTCTCTGTATTGATGTTTGATTCAATGAATAATGCAATATCATCGTTCTGATAATCATTACCATACTTGAGTTTGCCAACGAAAGTGTCGCCCACGTAGGTATGTTTCCTAAGACAAACAATATGTTATCTACGGAACAAGTATGTTTAGATTTAGTTTAAGTGTACGCTTGTTTTACAAACAACAAATCATATTACGAAATCATATTGAAATACAAAAATGAAACTCCTTAAGAATATTATGACAAAAGATTTCTTCCATAAATAACAAGAGTTCTAACGAGTTACGATTTTAATATTAATTAACCTTTAATAATTTTATGCAGAATTTAGTAATGAAAGTAGTAGTGGAATAAACAGGATTTATGTAATCAGTAATCACTAACAATGACAAATAAATTGAAAAAGTTTATATATGGCCTTAATTAAGCAGTCACTTTCAAATGTATTTTGTTAATATTTTAGCCGCTAAGTCTAATTTACAACGTACATATGCATATAAATTAGCAAAACTTTCCAATATGTCGGCGCATGCGAACAGATCATTTACAATATTTATTGCTTTTGTATTTTCTCACCACATTGGGTCCTTACCAAGACCGTTACGAATCGGACCGGCTTCTGCATTACGTTTTCCTGTTGTTGGAGAGGTCTAAACAATGCAGTTCGTCGTAAAAAGTAACCACTGAGGTAAGAAGGTTGTAGAAGTTGTTATGCTTGTTTCACCGTTAATAGTGGACAAATGGGTATATTTATAATATGTATGTATTTAAAGTTTATATATGTGTAGTGTATCATCTATCTGGTATCCGTAACACAAACTTCGTAGCTTACCATGGAACTAGATGGCGCTGTGTGTTAATATCCAATATTTTTTATTAATTATTATTATTTATAGATTTCAAAGATTAGTTACTTAATTTTTATAATAATCTTTTTAGTATCTAACTCTATTTTTGGCATTGTGTAGGTACCTATGTAATAATTTTAGGTTAAAATCTATTTTTATAAATATTAGTATATCGTCGCCATTTACTGTGCCATACTTGTGTACAAATTAAAGGTCAGTGTGTTCAATGTTCATGTTGCATGAATGTGAGAATGGGCTGCGTAACAGATATTTAAATTATATCAAAACGAAGTTAACTTTAGTTACTTAAGTTGAAATTTCCCCCCCCAACGTGCGTTCACCTTGTCGTGGTGGGGGGGCTCAGTAGTGTACTCGCGAAGCCAAGAAACGCACAGGGAGGTGGCCTGCTTCGGTGGGCGGTGGAAGGCGGCCTTCTTCGGAGGGCGGTGTGCCATGCGGGTTGCTCCTGGTACTTCTCTGATAGCAGAGTGGACCGTGGAGCAACCCCATGGTTGTTGTGGTCTGCTTCGGCAGACCTGCCGTCGGGGCGTCGTAGTTGAATGCGTAAGCGATCCTGCGACGCCCCATTAAGACGGGGGAAGGTTTTGTAGGGTTTTAGTGGGTAGTACTGGCTTCGCCGGTGAGTCCCACACTTCGTGCGTAAATGCATTTCCCAACGTTAAAAAAAAAAAAAAAAGTTGAAATGGAATATATTTCAAAGACAATATTCATATTAATATTTAATACATTTAACTATAAACCTACCTGAATATCTCTCCTCGGTTGTGGTAGCCTCGTAACAGGGTTTATCGCCATTGGCGCAGGCATGCGCGTAGGGGGTGGAACATATGGCCTTGGTACTGGAGGGGGTGGTGGGGGTCTGGGGCCTTGCACTACTGGGGGTGGGTGTATTACAGGGTGCACTTGCATAGAGGTTCCTTGCATTGCATGAGGTACTTGTGGAGATGAACCCTGCATTGAATGTGGTCCTTGCATTGCACCTTGTGTTACCGAATGACTCTTTGTTGCGTGATACCCTGATAAGGATTGAGTGGGAAGGGATTGGCGGTGTTTGGGCCCCTGGATGCGAGTAGGACCTTGGACCACAGTGACTGAGGGCATGAGAGGGGGTGGGCGCCGTTCCCTCGCTTGTTCCACCATAGCGAGATGTTCTGAGGGGCGGATAAGGCGCGGTGGCAGGGTGCGCGGACGCGGCTCGGGGCGCACAGTCGGCCGCGGCGGGGGAGCGCGCGCCCGCCGCCCCGCCTCCGATTCGTCTGTCATCGGTGCGCGCCAATCTGTTGGCAAAAAGAGTTGATTTTTAATTATTAATGATACAGTAATGTAAATACAAAGACATAAGGCTGTTTTTTTTTCTGGTTAAATAGGAAATATTAGTATCTAAGACTCTCCCATATCTCAATCCATGGCACAAAAACAACAAAAAATAGCGATAAAAAATTTAGAAATAATAAAAATCAGGGAAATTCTTTCTCTCTAAACATGCCAATTTAATATTTGTACGTGTAAACTGTAAAGCATCGATTAGAGATCAAAATGAAACGTCTAAAACGTCGGTATATTTTTATTTATTATATTTATTATCATTTTATGGACTTATTAGTAGGTCATATTAACTATTTATTTACTCATACATCGTTTCTTTATTATATACGCAAAATTATATAGTAAAAAATAAGTAAGTTATTTATTAATACATATTATGACAATTTTTATTTATGGATTTTAGGCATGTCAATTGAGCGCAATGACCTTTACCAAGTAAAACGGAAGTGTAGTGTGTTCTAAATATTTTTTTTGTTTTATGAAATAGTTTACAAATATTTCTCAAATAAAAACACCGTTACTAACAATAAGTATTAATGCACATACACATACTATATACATTCTGTATTATTTTATGTTGAGCGCCATCTATGTGATAATGCCAGAACTAGGTAGACCCGTAGGTTTGCGTACTGCTCGTTGGTCCGGCGACACGGCGTCTGCGCTTACGCATGTGCATTTTTTTAAAAAGCTTTGTAATTCTCCGTTTAAGTGCCGTTATAAAAGTCATTGTTTGAGCTCACCATCTGTTAGTATTGCAAATTGTTTTTACAAACAAAGGTAATTAAGTTTTTACCGCACATATTTAAGCCAGATGTTTATTTACTTCCGACTATAAAAATTGTGAAATTGTACATAACGTAATTAAGCTTTAAAAGATAAAAATACTTAATGATGACGAATGAATAAGAACATTAAATAAATGAAATTAACAACAATTTTCATTGTAAATATTTTGAAATTCGTTTGTTTATCGCCATCTGTCGGGATTAAAGTTAAATATATTTTATGAATTCGTCATAAAAATTTGAATCTATGATAATAATGTATTTTATTATAAATATTTATCGAAAATAATAAGTATTATAATTATAGCTGTTAAAGCTGCATACCGATCAAGTTAAAACCGCTACTTCTTAATAACATTTTATTTTCATTTCCTTGAACTGTTGACAGAATTACAAGACATTTATTTACTTTAATTAATGTAATTAAATAAAAATGAAATTGTATTTTATTGAGCACATACTTATTGAATTATTTTGTATAATTAAATAAATTTAGTTGTTGTATAATATCGTAAATGTGATGAAAAAATAAAATATTATAGATTAATTAATTTTAGGATTGAATGAATTAAGTCGTAAGTAAACCAAATAAATAGGTTTTTTGAGTAAGGTCGATTTATTTGTAATAAGGTTATAGTAGGTTATAGTATTTAAACACTGAAAATTCTTTTACTTTTTCCTTAAGGGGGTGAAAGTTTGTATGTGGAAGTAAAAACGTGTATAAATAAAGTTAAATTATGCAAAAATATTAAATAACCATCGAAAGTAAATATTATAAGACTTACGTAAAATTTGATATTTGTAAATAGCCAGATGACTATTTACACTTATATCCATTTAATATTGTAGCACTTGTGAAATCATAACATCTAAAAATATTTTGAAAAGCAAATGCACGTATATAAGATTTTTTACATATTAACTTCAACGAAATTATTATAAAACCACACGCTATAATTGAGAAACATCCGAACAAAAGAACAAATAACTTACGTGACACAAGGCCGCTTAAACCTAATGTTAGGCCGTTACAACAATACACTTTGTAAGTACCATGGACAGCTAACAGAGAGACCTTGTAGAATCAGGTTCAGTCCAATAAACTGCAAACAAAGCCTTTATTTATCGTATCTTTCTCACTGAACTGTGTTTACCGACGGTAAATGCGTGTAACTAACAATTTATTTGTCGATAAGCGCGCTCAATTTACACAATAAACTGATAATTTTAGAGCACTGCACTTGCATTATGGGATTGTACCGACAGACCGTTTCCATGGTGACGCTTTTCCCTCCAAAATAAACGCATGCGCGATACAGTGTATTTCTTAGATTGTACAATATGCACCTTGTCAGGTGGGGACAGAAACTGTTTTGGTTAGTGATTCGTTGTTGGGGTCGCGTGTCTTACCCCACGCTCCTCGCCTTGTGATGATAGCCTGCAGACGCAATTTTCCTATATAAGATTGTATATGTTCAAGTTGGCTACGTGTAAGGGTAATTGCGGGGGAATGCTGCTTACTCGTTTCCTTTTTGAAACGAGATACCCATGTTTTTATATTAATTTCGTTATTGATGCTCTTTTGAAGAAAATAACTATTTTTTTAAAGTTAAATGTACAGATTTATTAATATATTTAAGAAGTAGTTGGTACTTATAACACGTTAAAAATCTAATAAATAATAATTATACAAATTGCAATGGTAAAAAATTATGATAAAGTCTTTGATCATATTTTTTTGTAAATAAATAACTTTTAATTAATTGTAGAGCAAGTTATCTAAGGCAATAGAAAATTATCGATGCAAGCCTTTAAAAACTTTTAGAAAACAAAAAAGGCATGCATTAAGGATTCACATAATAAACAGATAAGTTAAGGAAATATTCTAAGTAGTCTAATATCCTAATAAATAATCTATTCAAAGGGATTAAATTAAAACGAATGTTGCCATTAAGCCGGTCTCTCTTGATAAGAAGGAGGAAACATCAAAGTGATCAAAGATAGTAAAACCTTATACATTTTAATGAGATTAGAAGTTATGGCCCAAGGGGTTGTAATATTGGATATATACTTGCCATCTACCCCTTATCTTTTCATAATATGTAAAATACGTAATATATACTATCATATATAATTATAATTTTTATGTATATACCTATTTTTATAAAGGTAAATAGTTTTATAGTGGATATATTAAACTATTTCCATATTGTTACTCAAAATATCAACATTATAAAAGAAAATTGCTCCATAATACCAGAAATGTTACCTGTTACACATTTTAAATCTATATGTACAGGTCTTGGCTCTTTAATAAGTATAATTTATAGCATTGTCTATTAATCCCATATCGCGATGGTACAATTACAGTAGGTACTAGTAGGATATCCTTTGTCTAAATGCATATTTGTAAACTAAGTATTTTATCTATTGAATTGTTATATCCATATGATAATAAAAAAGGTTAAAAGTTATTACATACAAAAAGCAATATAGATTTTTAATTTTAAAAGTGTTTGAGTTAGAATAGACTTACGTATTTTTTAATATAATAATATTATAAGGTAATGAATAATAATATAAATATTTTTGTTCTGATTAATATCAGTAGGTACTTGTGCTATAGGTACATGAGCTTCAATCTGCGTTTTTTTTATAAAATCGTGTTTTTAAGAATAAGAGAGAAACAAACAGATATAGAGAATGAATGAGATATAGAAAAAAAGATATGAAAACGCGTTTTTTCAAAAAGACACCTATCTAAATACAAAATTTGATCCAAATGGTTAGAGCCGTTTACGAGGTACACATCATTTAATATTATTAGATTAAAACTATCAGTCTACTCAAATCAGTTTATACATATGTTTATGTAGGTACTTTAATTAGATCCAAGTCACGGAGGGTTTAGACGTAGGCATAAGCGAAGGTGGCAGACGAGGCGGGTTACCTACATACATTATACGTTGCTATAAATGAACACTTGGGTGATTTTACTAATTGAAATTAACATTTAACCACGTTATTTAAACAAATAAAATTTTAATAATCAAATATATATCTAAATTGCGTATTTTTAAATATGAGATTTGTGCCACATGTTGTTGTTGTTGCACTGACAGAAGTATCCAGACAAAATAATTTTAATTTACAAACATAACAATGTCATCAGAATTGCAAATAATTCATCGAATGTAGGTATAATAAATATTCTTTTAACAAGTTAAAGAATAAGAGAGTTGTAAGATATTTACACATTTTTTTGTTTTAAAATAAACATTATTTATTTAAAGATGCATAAAGATAGCAAATGCGCGTTGCATTTATTTATTTACACGTCGCACGCACGATTTCAGTGAAACCGATGCGATGCTCGGATATACGCCTGCGTCGCGTCAGTGTAGGCGCGAAGTAGGGTGGAAGTAGGGTGACCACACTGTTGCTTTCCCCAAGACATTCAAAGCAACTTAAATAAATTATAATTTGAAACAAAATAATAAATAAAAATTTAACTATGATTTCCATAGTATTTGAAAAAAAAAACAATAATATTATATTAAACGAAGAAAAAAAACATTAGATTTAATACTAAGGTTTAAATGGAACGAACAAGGTTTTATTTTAAGTGAAGATTAGGTCACCCTAAGTAATTCATACTGAGAATATTAAGCTACTTGCGAAAGATGTCGCGACCTGATGACGCCGGTGTTTCGCAACAAGCTAGGTATAATAAAATTGAACTTTTATAAAAAAATTAACCTACATTTATACATATAATAAAAACAATTTTATATTTTTGTTAACTTATTTATATAAAATAACCATACTAAAGAATTGAAATAAATGAATATCGACAGGCATTTCGAACTTTGTGAGTTTTTTCCGTATTGGGTATCACGCAATGAGTGTCATTAAATGCGCTTATATCGTATAGAATTTACGAGACCGATTTGAAGATTTTTTTTGGCTATTTACTAAGAAAACTTGTTTAAGAATTATGAAGCGGAATCGTGGGCAAAAACTTGTATTTTTATATAATCACAAGTATAGAATGCCCAGTAAACAACTAAATATTTTACCTTGCACGCTACAAATTACTAAGCACAACCATTAATAATTATCATCTTACTCAAAGTCCCGCATGCACGT